ATGTACACCTATGTTTATTGCAGCATTGTTCACAATAGCAAAGACTTGGAACAAAATGTATTTCTTAAATAATAAGACTTGGAAGTCAAAATTACTTCTTGAGCCATGGGCTGGAGAATGAATATTGCATTAGCAGGCATGAAAACAATGTTAATTGCCTTGTACATCTCTACCAGAACTCTTGGGTGATTAGGTGCCTTTTTTTGTTTTTTGAGATGGAGTTTCATTCTTAATTGCCCAGGCTGTAGTGCAATGGTGTGGTCTTGGCTCACTGCAGCCTCTGCCTCCAGGTTCAAGCGATTCTCCTGCCTCAGCCGCCTGAGTAGCTGAGATTACAGGCATGTGTCACCACGGCTGGCTAATTTTTTGTATTTTTTAGTAGAGGTGGTGTTTTACCATGTTGGTCAGGCTGGTCTCAATCTCCTGACCTTGTGATTTGCCTGCCTCGACCTCTCAAAGTGCTGGGATTATAGGAGCGGGCCACCACACCTGGCCTGATGAGGTGCATTTTTAATGAGCAGTAATATTTTGAAAAGAATCTTTTTTTCTGAGCATAAGATCTCAAGAATGAGCTTTAAAAATTCAGGACACCATGCCTTTGTTATTCCAATTATAGAGCACAGGCAGAGTCGATGTAGCATAATTCTTAAGGGCCCTAGGATTTTCAGATGGCAAATAAACATTTATTTTAATTCAAAGTCATCGGCTTCATTAGTCTCTAACAAAGAGTCAGCCTCTTTTTTGAAGCTTGAAGCCAGGCACTGACTTCTCTCTAGCTACGAAGGTCCTGGAAGGAAAGTCTTAGATGTATCAGTCAGGAGAGTCTAAATGATGCTGCAGTAACAACGAAGCTCAGAATCTTAGTGGGCTGAAACAACAAATTGAGTTATTTCTTGGTCACATTAAATGTTCACATTTGATGGAGGTGGGTGTGAGGAGGGCTCACTTCATTGCGGTCAGTGAGGAGCTGCTGGGCTGAGGAAGTCTCTGTCTCTTTGCTCCTCCCTGGCAGAGGTGGGAGGAAGGGGCACATCGCAAGCCACATGTTTGCCTTTAAAGCTTTTGTCCAGAAGGAACCCATACCATTAGCCAAATGGACTCACATAGCCATCCAAGATTTCAATTGCATGAAGTACAAGCCTACGACGTGTACAAAGTGAGAAGAGAGCAGGACTCCTTGCACAGAGCCTCTAATGCCTTTCAGTGAGGTACTAAGGCTTAACCTTTGTTCTGATAGAGTCAAAGAGGCAACTTGGAGCTTGCAGGGAGTATTGACTTAAGTAAAACCCAAGTCCTTATGAAAGGAGGGAAAATAGCAATAGTGAGAAGACTTTGGTCCCTGGGCATTCAGAGTCTGTCTGGCAGCAGCTCTGAGAGAGGAGATTTAAACTCTTCCTGTGTCAATGACTACTGAAGATCCACAGATGTCCCCGAGCAGAGGGAGCTCTGAGAAGGCTGTTGATTAAAACTGAGGAGCTCCAGCACCAACAGAACTGAACCGTCCTTGTGTACATCTCTGTGTGCCAGGATAACCAGGCCTTGGGGACCACTCCAGCCATGTGGGAGTAGTGAGGCATCCTAGATGCATTTTCCCTCTTCTTGACCTAGTTTTCTATCTGGATTCTCT